TTTTCCTGCTCACAGCCTTGCAGCCTGGCAGCCGCTGCCCGCTCCACCAGAGCTTTCTGCCGATGAGTCCATACCGCAGAGTCAGGCAGAGCATTGGCACGAAGAAATAAATAGTGGAGACCCAGGTCATTGTCTCGAGCAGCCCCGTGTGAGCCACACGCTCAATGGACCTGCACTCCCGGCTCTCCTGGGGCAGGCTGCCGTTGCGATGTTCCACCCTGAAGAGGAAGAGGATGGGGCCAGTGGTCAGGAGAGAGGAGCCTCAGAGCACCAGGATGACCTGTTTCACCCAGCACTTGGTGGTGGTGGCTTTGGCTTTCAGGGGAAAGCAGATGGCAAAGTACCTCTCCACACTCACTGTGGTGGTGTGCAGGATGGTGCAGTATGTGCACATTTCGCTCAGGTAAATTAAGAACTTGCAGAGAAAATCCCCAAATATGTAGGGCTTGTACTTCCAAAGGCGGTAGAGGTCCGAAGGCAGGCCAAGGAAAATCAATGTGTCCGACAGCGCCATGCTGGACAGGTACATGTTCACTGTCGTCCTCATCTCCTGCGAGCGTCTGAAAATTACTATTGTTATCAAATTCTCAGAGACTCCCAAGAAAAACAGGACAATGGAAATTATAGTGACAGGCACCAAAATATGGACACCAAACAAAGTCATTTCTGAAATAGCTGTGATTTGAGACGGAGCCCGTGTCTGGTTTCAAAGCCGAAGGCAGGACTAGCTTCATCTTCCCCTTTGACAGAAGCCTGACCCACAGTAAGAGAAAGGCAGGTTTCAAAGCAAGGGTCCAAGCACCAGTTGTCTGTGCAATGACTCCTACATGATCAATTAAAATACCAGAATGTTCATAACCATCTAGCCAATGAGGATAAACACTCGAGTGACGATGAGTCCATTTTACAAGAAGCAAAGGAATATTAGATTCACATGTCCAGCATTTGCCAGACACAACCTTTAAAAACAATATTGACCATTATAAAACAATTATTTTCCCTGATGATATTTACCCTTAGCTTCGCAGTGTTTGGAAAAGGGCCATTTTTCACATTTCCTTTCAAGTCCTGTGAATCCTATCAAGCGCATGGAGCCAGGTCTGGCGGTGGGGCTCCAGATCGATGGTGGAGGAACCACAAGGAGAGGCAGCCCCCCCAAAGGGACCTGGACAGGAACAGCCTCTCAGACCTCCCCAGTGATTTGCCAGATCCTTCCAGCACTCGCAAGCACGAGTGTAAATCTTTAGGCTGAGAAGTGTCTCGTTGAGACTCCACCAAGGAGCAGGGAGGCTCGCCGGCCGTCACCGCGCCTGGCAGACACGGGATGCTTTGTCTGCAGGATGCCTTTTCTGCCATTGGTGATGACATCGGTGCTGTACCAGGGGGTCCCCGGAGTTCCCTGGCACGTGGCACAATTTCTGAGGAAATCAGTTGGGGGCCACTTGATTTTTTTGCTGCCCATTCTGTGGTCATCCATCTTCCTCCCTCCACCTACACACTGCTAATGATGCTTCACTAAACAAGCACCCCCATTCTGCTTTTCTCTTTACCCTGCAAAAAGTGCCCGCAGTTACCAAGGAGGGTAGAAGAGTTCTTTGATACTGGAAATTTAATTAGCCCATTTGGGCCAGCTACATAATTTTCCATCGTTCCGTGTTTACTTACGGCCTTTCTCACTTGGGCTCCTCCCCAGCATATGCCGCCGAGTGAGAAATTTCTACTGACAGTGCTTTAATGGCATTATTAAAATAGGATGGGAAAGCCTTTATTTGAACATCAGTCTTCAAAATGAGACAGTCTGACACTTAGCCCTGATTTACTTTCCACTTCAGAGACGATTAGCTGGAAAGCACCAGGGCAGGGGAGGGGAGGGGAAAAGGGGCCAGCACGAGGGGAAACGCAAGGGAAGGCTCTGGGAAGCTGGAGGTTAATGGCGTGTAGCTGAAGAGAGCGGGAACACTCGGCACCAGAGAGGCTGCGTACGCCACTTGGCTCGACAGCAGGATGTGTCCCGCCACGGTCCTTGGAAATTCGTCCATAACCCTGCAGAAGTGAGTGGGGTACCCGGTATGAAATAAACCCCCTCCGTTCTCCTCGGAGCTCTGATCTTTGCAGTATTTCTTGTCTGAAGGACGAGTCAAAAGTCAGCATTTTGTAGAGACAAATCGTGTGGGATTTGGGCTTGAAAGGTCAGCGCTGAACACAGTCGCAGCATTGTGTTGACAGAGCCCTGGTTCTGACGTTAGGGAGGTTTCTGCTGCCATTCCCAAGAGGCAGAAGCGCTGGCTGTGGTGTTTCTTTTCAAGAGATTTAGGCAGCTGAACACCTCAAAAAAAGAAAAGCAGTCCGTGCGCCAAGGCTTTACTTCCCTGCACTTACACACCTCAACAAAACCCATCTAAGAACAAACTCCCAACTCTTAGCTCTGCGTTGGTGATTTCAACACTGCACCCCAAGCAGAGCTCAGCCCCAGCCAGCACACACTCTGAACAGCGTGCAGCTGCCTGCCCTGTTCCTCCAAGCAGATCCCTCCCAGCTGGGAGACAGTTCCCTTTGATGAACGTCCTCCGGTTTGGCAGTGGCAGATGGAGGAGTCAGCGCTCAGCCTTGCCATGCCGTGACCCAGTTTCCTGTTTTCCAAAGCTGAAAGAAACCCCAGTGTCTGGGCAGAGAGGAAGGGTGACTGCTCTTTCCGTCAGCCAACGTGCGGTGCCCACAGCCCGCTGAACGCAGGCATTCACAGCACGGCCCTGACCCGAGGGACTGGCAGTGGGGAGGAAGCTTTCATAGCCAGGCAGAGCCGCTCCAGCTCAGCTGCCTGCAAGGAAAGCATCTGCGGCCTTGGAGACAAATATCTCCCCTGTGGAAACTGGCTCTCCATCTCTTCCCCTCACCATTGGTTTCCACACAGAAATGCTGCAAGTAGCTGCAGCTCTTGGTCATCTGGAAAGTCACCTCTGCACAGCAGAGTTGATGGGGAAGGTGATCACAGTGTGGACAGGAGATCTGAGGGGGGTGTGTGTGTGTGTGGAAAGGTCTTTGTCTGCTTTTAGGGGTAAACCCAGAGCCCTTCGGCAGTATGAAGTATCTTTCTCTTTTACTGCGTTGGGAAGAAGTGGCAGTGACAGCCGACAGCCTGACGATGCCACATTTCAACATGCATCAGTCCGTGGTAGAAGAGCTCCCCTCCCCCTCTTCCTTAAAACAGGGGAAAAAAAGTGTGTTTTGTTCATTGTCTAAGGTCAGTGTCTGGAATTCATCCTCCGTTCCCCTCCTCTCAGGATGTTTTTGTGTAATATACTCTGACTCATGAAAGTCAAATGACTTGGATGGTAACGCTACAGCACTTCCAGCCAAAGAGCCTCAGCAGAGGTATTCCGGCCGCCTGCGCCTCCAGCACTGGCACGTGCTTGACGCAGGGCTTCCATCTCCTCTGGCTGCTGCAGGGCTGCCTCTGCCCCCCATCAGGGCGACTCTGGCACCCCCAGCACTGGCAAACCCATGGCGTGGGGGGCCAGCTGCCATTTCACTACAGATAGACAGGTTTGAAAGTTGCATTTACATGTAGGGAGACTGAGGGTACGGCTTCCAGCCATTAAACATCACGCGTGGTACAGAGGAGAAGTGAGAGAGAGAGTCTCGCTGCCACTGGGATGTTCTGCAACGCATTACAGGCACGAATCTGAGGGATCACAAGTTAGCAGCTGTTTATTTCTTCTTGCTCTCAAAGGAGGCTGGCTCCTCTTCCCCCTTGTATCAGCTGGTCTAGTGCAGATACCTTGTCTTCCTCCAGCCCTTGCTTCGTTTGGACCATTGCAGCTAATGACAACACCACTGCAACTCCCCCTGGAATGCTGCTAATCCCCCCATTTGACAAAATCACAAGAAAACTTTTTTTTTTTTTTTTCATTCTGTTTTGCCTCAGAAAGTAACAGAGAAACCTTTGATGACACTTGCCTGGAATGTAAGTACAGATCCTTCAGCTGCTAGGAAAACAAGCTGAAAAAGTCCTGCTGCCAATACTCTCGTTTTTCTTTAACCCTGGGAATGCTGACAATTTACAAAGTTGCCACCAAAGGCGTTCATGAAGCCACACACCCTCCTGCTTCACCGCCAAATATCTGGCCCTGGCCCATCCTGCAGCAACAATCCCCTGAACACCCGGGGCTTGGTCTTTGCCCTCCTGCACCGCTTTGTCTCCACAAACATTTTTATTAAAAAAGAATTTCTGCATCGTGGAAATGTAGTTGGTAACAACACAGAGCCCTGTTTCATCCGATACGGGCCTGAGCCGAGGAGGGGGTGCAGGGGCTCACGCACCTAGAGGCCTCCGGTGTCACACAGAGGGGACACGCACCGAAACCCCGTTCGCGCCGCGGCCGTCGAAGGCGTCGGGGGCCGGTTCCTCTCGGCACAGACGGGAGGGACGGCAGCATACACCGCTTCTCCCTCGGCCCCGGCCCC